TTACTCATTTGGGAATTCAGACTGTCCATAAGACATTTCTTACCTCATAAACAGGAATAAGATACAGTTAATATAAATATTAAAAAATTGGACAAGAGGAGTCCAACCAAATTTTGGAAGAAGATCACATATATTTTGAAAGCAAGTTTGAGGCATATTGCACAAAATCAAATATAAAATTAAATGAGAAGAATATTCATCAAATTTGCATGTATAGGCATAAGAAAGAGAAAGCCAATGTGAATGCCATGGACATTAAAAATGAAAAATTGTCTGCTTCCTCAAAAGGAAGAGAGAAATTATGGCAATAAAACAAATACACACATCTGTTTACCAAATAAGATGCAATTTGGTTATCTAGAAATCAATGCAAGAATAATCATGATATCTACATTCATTCTAAAATGACAAAATTGGACTCTGGGGCTAAAATGTAGAAAACAAAATAGAAAATCTAAATTGAAGGATAGATATGACAATATAAAAAAGTGAGAACATTTTAAAATCAATCTTCAAAAAAAGAGTACAATGATATTCAAAAGGCAACAGCATTTTGTATGCAAATTAATTTTATCATAACATTTTCCAAAAATTTTATAGTCTTTGTTTTTCCCCCAAACAAAAACCCACAAAAAATTCAGTAAAGATATAAAATAGTTTAATATGACCAAGTGAAACGAAAGTTCATATATTTTAACTATATGTTTAAAGATGATAGCTTGATGTACACATCTTTCTTGTTTGAAAGAACTAAAAGAGAAAGTAAAAACTGTTACCCTTCACCAACTGATTTACATCTAAATATGCAGGGAATTGTAAATTAGATCATTAAGCACAAAAATTCTAGGAAAACTGATATTGGTTGAAATGATCCTATTTAAAAGAGTGCCTAGAAAGATACAGGTTTTTAATAAAATAAAAAGAAATGGTCTAATTTAAATCTTTGAGCCTATTCAGAAGTACACATTCAGAAGAACATATTCAGAAAGATTCCTTTACATGAACTTTGATCAACTGAAAGAAAACTCAAATAAAAAAATGAAGTTAATTATGGACCATTCTTTCTAGCCCATACATTCTGCTGCCACAGTTTCTTAAACTGAAACTATTACTAATTACGGTTTCCTAGCTAGCCTTAGTGAAGTGCCAAAGAACCAAGGTACAAGTCGGGAGAAAATAACACATTGTCTAGATCGGTGGCCACCAGTCAGCTTTTAAGTCAGAATTACTGTACATCCTGACAAGAAGTTAGGGGTCATGGTGGGAGGGGAAGTGATTAGGAAATGGTGGCCAGAGTGGGGAGAAATATAACTCTAGTTGCATGTGTGACAGAACAGGCTGTTCATTGCAGAGCCAAACAAATTAGGGCAGAAGAATAGTTATTTTAAAAAAGTTTTGCACATGTAACATATTTTACTTGAAGTTTAACATTTATAGAAAGTGAACAAATCATAAGCATAGCTTGAATCACTTTTACAAAATGAATACTTTTATGATATCAGCAACCCAATTAAGAAACAGAACATTAATAGCACTCAGAAGTGCTCCCTCCCAGGTACTAATCCTCAAGAGTAATCTAACACCATAGATTCATGTTTTGCTTTTTTTTTTTGACCTTTATAAAAATAGAATTACACAGTACATTCACTTTTGTATTGGGCAGTTATGCTCAACAATGTATTTGTGAGATTCATCCATGGTGTTGCATATAGATGTAGACTGTTCATTCTCATTGTAAATTCAAACACTGGACTACTATATAGCAATTTATTTATCCATTATACCATTGAAAGATGTTTTGGTGGTTTCCAGGTTTTGGCCATTGTGAACACTATAGCTATACATTTTTTGCTCATTTATTTTATTGTTAAACATATTAATGATTTCAATTAGGTATAAACATAGAGAAGAGTTTAAAGATAGGTCAACTTTAAAAAATACTGCCAAACCATTTTTCAGAGAAGCAGTTCACTCCCACCAATATGAGTTCTATTTGCTTCACTTCCTTACCAACATTCGTTATTCTCAATATTTGCTTTTTATATTTATGTATGTTTGTTTTTCATCCTCCTGGTCATGCAGTTGTATTACACTGTGGTTTCATTCATGTTTACTTGATGACTAATGAAGCTGGGCAAATTTTCATATGTTTATTGGCCATTAAGATTCCTTATCAAGTGCTATCTCATGTATGTTTTTCCAATTGATAGAAATTATTAGCATTAATGAGTGAATGTAGCAAAATTGTTGAATCATAGTATCACTGATTGATTAAAGCCAATGTCATTGCTAAATGTTAGAACAAATATAAAATTAAATTTCGGAAAATTATATATAAACACATGAAAATATATGGGAAAAAATAAATACAAAAAAAAGATGTATGAGGTCTCTACATAAGTGGTTGTCAATCTCTTAACCTTGGGGAATTTGTCCTTCTGGAACCATTTGACAATTTCTAGAGAATGCTTTTGTTAGGGACTGGAGGCAGGGGATGCTACTTATATCTAATAGGTAGAGGCCAGGTATGCTGGTAAATATCCTGTAAGGACAGAATAGCCATCCCCAAGACCATCCCCCACCACAGAAGATTATCTAGTACAAAATCAGTAGATAGGAGAGGGTGTTATATAGTACTTATGGACTAGAAGACTCAATACTGTATACATATAAGAGTGTACAAAGAAACTCTCTGGGGTGAAAGATATGTTCATTATTGTAATTGTGATAATAGTTCCATGAGTGTGTTTATATGTCAAAGTTTATCAATATGTACACCTTCAATACCCATGTTATTTTACATCAATTATACATCAATAGAGCTGTTAATTATTTTATTCTCAAAAATAATTTATGAGAATTGAGAAGATATAAAAGTTCTATAACTATTAAAGAAATTGAGTCTGTAATTAACAGTTTTCCCAAAAAGATCTCTAGTCCAGATAACTTTAAAAGTATAGTTTTCCTAACATTTTGAAAAGATATAATATAAATCCTACATAAAACTTGGCATCAAATAGACTATTTACTAGATAATTTTAAATGAGTAGCATTAACTGTATTAACAAAAATCATCAAGTACATTTTAAAAAAGGAATATTATAAGCCAATCTCCACTTGATCAAAAATGTAAAAATTTACAACAAAATATTAGCAAACTGCATTCACATGTGCATGCAGGGGTTTGTGTATATAGGTTCACTCTAGGAATACAAGGTTCATTTAATATCTAAAAGCAGTTGGTCATTTATCACATTAACCTAAAAGAGAAAACAATCATCTTAATAGATACAGAAAGAACTGTTAGTAATTAAAACTGAGAAAACTAGGAATGGAAGGAAGCTTCCCTAAATGACAAAAAGCATCTATAAAATGTATCAGCATTAAGCATCCTGGATAAAGATGAAATAATAAAATATTTATCCCCAAGTTTGAAAACAAGTTACCAAACTTGCTATCACCACTTCTCTTCAACACTATACCAAAGATATTATCCTGTAAAATAAGGAAAGAAAGGTATAAGAATTTAAAATGAATAAAACTGTAATTGTTGTAAACAATATAACTCTGTGCTCTGTGTGTTGACTGAGAGGATAAAAAACTATACACTATGAAAATTAATAGGTAAATTAGCACATTCACTGGAAAAAATCAATATATAAAAACTGATTTGGATATCAACAAAAATAGCTACAACTTATAATACTAGCAAAAATCAGCAAAGACATAGGAAAAAATTGATCAAATGATGTACTACCTTTCCTAAGGGAACTATGAAATGTTGAGAGAAATTAAGACCTAAATAAATAGAAAGACAAGTTATGGTCATGGATTAGAAGATTCAATGTGGTAAAAGTTTCAATCTTCCCTAAATTGTTTTATATATTAGATACATTCCATAACCAAAATTCCTGTGCTTTTAGGAACATTGATAACATTATTCTAAAATTTCTATAATAATACAAAGGGCTTCTAAGAACCAAGGAAAAAGAACAAATATAGTGAGCAACCTCTACAAAATATCAAGCTACCAATAATCAAGATAACATGGTTTTGGCCTAAGGATAGACAAAATGACCAATGCAAAAGAACAGGGTCATAAATAGAAGCTCATATATCGGGTCAATTGTTATTACAAATGTGACATTACACTGCAGTGGGGGGAGTGACCTTTTTAATAGATATGTTTGGCCAACTGGATATGTATCTAAAATAAATTAATCTCTGTTTGTCATACTCATGTTCAATTCCAGGTGGTTTGTAGATATAAATCTAAATGTAGCATAAGTACATTTCTTCACATGATGCAAATAGACTTAATAGATTAAGATGAATAAGCAAATTGGAGTACATTAAAATTAAGAACTTCTCTTCATCAAATAACAACACTTAGAGAATCAAAAGACAAACCACAATGTAAGACGATATCAGCAATATATTTGATAAATGATTTATACCCTGAATTTATAAGAACTGATGCAAGTCAACAAGAAAAAGGATGACTCAATAAAAAATGTAGACAAAAGACACAAACTGTTAATACACAAAAGGGGATATCCAAATATCTAAAAACATGTCAAGTGTTTCTCAACTTCATTAGTCATCAGAGAATGGCAAATTAAAATCACTATGAACAATTGTAAAGTTTGATAATATCCAGTCCTGGTAAGGAAGTGAATACCATGATTGTTCACATATCACTGGTGGCAATGTAAACTGGTATAATCATTTTGAGAAAGTATTTAAGATAGTTTAATAGCATCTTCAAAAGCTTAATCTATGCATACTCTACGACCCAGCAATTAGACTTGTTGATATATATCTCAAAAACTTTTGTACTTAGGTGGACCAAAATCATAGATACCAAAATGTCCATAGCAGCACTACTAAAAGTAGCTGCAAAATGAAAGCAACCCAAATGTCCATGAAGAGAATAGGGAATTATGATGTCACTCAATGGAATACTACACAGCAATGAGAACTGTTGTCACACACAACAAAATTAGCTCAATACAGCAGAGTACATACTGAACGATTCCAGTATATGAAGTTCAAAATCAGACAAAAGTAGTCAATGGTGAAAAAAGTCAGGACAGTAGGTTCTTTTATGTGAGTATTAACTAAAAGGGTAACAGGAGTTTCCAAAATGCTAGTATGTTCTCTCTTTTTAAAAAATCTGGATGCCACTTATAAGGATGTCCTCCCTTTTTAGAAAAAAATCATTAAACTGTATAGCTATCAGGTGGCACTTATCTGTATGCCCGTGGCATTCCAATATAACATTCACACAAAAGTAAAAAATTATTTTGTTCCTTCCATAATTTCTTCATTTTTATGAATAACAGATTTGTAGAATAAAAAAGATAAATACAGTAATTGGCATCCATAAAATCAGAAATGGACATAGAAAATTTGGAGCTTGTTGAATATAATGTGGGTCTAATATTTTTTCTGCATTGCCTGTAGTTTGGCATATAATTTTAAAAATCTAGAGTTCAAACTTGATTGTACTGCTGAAAATGGCTCATTTTATATAAAGTAAAAGTTTATACTAGTTAACTGATCATGATTTAAAATTTAATAAATCATCATACATATTTGCTATTGGGAAAATATTTACAGTTAAATTTAAAAGAATATATAATATCCTCATTTTGGAAATGGGTCTATATAAAGTTGCTGGGATGGTATCCCAACACTTATTCTTCCCCTGTGAAATAAATTTTTATAAGACTAAAACCACAATAAATGGTAGCTTCATTGTTGCTATCTTCTGTTATCTTCTGTAATACAAATTTTATGCATGCGCATTTTAAGATATCCAGAAAACAAAAATATTCATCTCTTAAGAAACAACTGTATATTGAAGTACTAAAATATATTAATACTGAATATTAATAATAGCTTATTCAATCTTGTTTAACCAATTTTTCTTGGCTTCTTTCCTTTCCTGTCAATAGAGTTTCTGAATGGGTAAAACATTAGAAGAAAAATTTAACTAAGAACACAGACGAAAGAAGTAACACTCTGGAAACTATCCCAAAAGGAGATTAAAGAAACTTGGTAAATTGAACCACTTAAAACATTTCCTCAACTTTCTATCAAAACAGCCTTTCTTTCTATACTCGCCATTTATTTAATGATAGTTCTAATGTATAAAACACAAGTATTAATCAGGATTTTTGGCACTAAAATATCAGTGAATAAAAACAAATCTGTAAAGGCTTAATGCAAGATTAGTCAAGAAAATAATGTTCTAAGTATTATTAACACCTTTGACTTCACATAATATCAATGACATTGCTTCTGTTTTAAAATACTGTACCATTTTCTAAGTTTGCATATCTGACTGCTTCTAGATTATTATAGTGCCTGTTGACCACAGGCACTATATCTACTCATTAATTTTATCCTCAATGGCTGTCAAAGAAATGGGACACCTGTGAGTAGCAAAATGCAATTTACATTATTGTGATCACTGAAAACCTACCATAATAAATAATGATAAAACAAAAGTAAAAATAAAAAGAAAGTCTACTTATTTGAGGAAACAGTACTTTAAACAATTACTCACTAATGTAGGTATTTATAATGAAAACCGTCAAGCTCCCTGTGTTAATGACAATCTATAATATAATATAATCCTTTCTTTAGAGGTGTCTGTAACGTCAAAAAGCTTGGCAAACTACAACTTTTCTTGAATGTGAAATGTAACTTAAGATGATAGGAAATAATATAAATAATTTTTTGTGAGATATTTTTACTCATAGAAATAAGACGTTAATCTGAATTTCATTAAAAACAGTTATTGAGTACCTACTACATTATAGCACATATTGAAATATACATGCACCACTAATTTGTCACTTTTTGGAAAAGAGTAGTTTATTTAACAAATGCCTTTGGCATACTTGCAAATCTAGCAGGGGGAAACAAATTTAACCCAAAATTTATTACCATATAAAAGTTACATAAAAAATCTAAAGGTAGTAGAGTGCTACTTCCAGAGTGGTGGTGTGCGGAGCTCTGTGGAAATGTTCCCTGGAGAATCAATCATAATGGTGAAAATTACTTTTAAAATTACCCATTTAGAGTATCTGGAATTTGCCCTAAGACATATAACAAATGAAGAAACAGATATTCAAAAATTCTGCTAAATCTTGGAAACTCCTGCAAGAATCTGCGTCCCTTAAGTTCTGAACCATCCATTCCATCCAATAGATTCATGTGAGAGAAGGTCCTCTCCAGGCAGTTTTGGCCAGGAAGTGTGGAAGGGGATGGAAGGGTTGGGGGGTGATTTCTCCCCTCTCAATTCCCAGTCAGTTGACACTGCAATTCAATAGAAGAGGCAGAGACAGGTCCGAAGCATTTCTCATCTTTTCCGGCTTCCAGTTCCAAAGGCTAAATACCTGGCAAGTACAACCAAGAGGCCAAGGGCTTTTTTCTTCTGTCCAATGGCCACTTTAGGGTGGTGGCTCCACTCCATGAGTGACAGGCCAAGAATATTAGGGCCTTTGCCCCAGTTTATTCATATGGTGGATGTTTAATTCCAGAAAAGGCAAGCTAAGCACCTCCACCCAATGCTCTGCAGGAAAGTCACTTCTGTCCCCATCCCAAGTAATGACCCTAGATTTTGTCCAGGCAAAGGGAAGACCATAAGAACAGAGAGTTTCTAAGGTCTCCCTAAAGCAACTATTTAATATAGAGTATGAGAAGTCTGTACCTAAGTGATCTTGAAACTAACGGAGATTTTGGTTGTGAGCAATTAAGAGGAGACTGGTAGCTTTATGAATAATAAGCTAAAAAGTAAGCTAACTAATCTAACAGAGAGAACCAGGGAGAAAGATGATTAAGAAGAGCTCCCTTGGGACCTGAACCACCTCAAAAACTGGCCTAAAACTCCCTGCAAAGGAACTGAAATTTAATTTTATCAGACTATGGAGGCATTTATGCCCAGGGCATTGTTGCAATCAATAAAGCAATCAGGCAGCAATTAATGGACCTAAGGTTTGGATGTGATATCAAAGCAGATTATAAAATCTTGAGCAGTGATTATTATCTTCCTAATAATTTTAACCCCATTGCTTATCAAGTAAATAGTATACTTGGAAACAAGCTCACAATGGCAAATATAATTTTACTGTGAATAGCAAATATAATTTTACTGTGACCATTGAAAACCTCATATAATTTATGAATGGCAAATGTAATTTTACTGTGGACAGTAAAACCTAATATAAATTAATTATCCCATTCCCCAAACCAAAAATAAACAAACTCCTAGAAATTATGGTATATAATGATAAAATAAGGGTACAATGAAAACAAATACACTCCATCCAAGGAAAATACACTCCAAGTAGTTACTACATTTCACTTAGCCATTCCTAATAGTTTAACGTAGTGATCAGGGAAAAGGTGAGTTCCACGGTGACTGTGTTCATGGCAAGGTTGTACCCTGTCATGCTGCAGAGAAAGTAGCTTCACTAAAATAATATAGTCAAATCTTTAACCAAGTTAGTAAAAAGACAACAATAAAAACAATTCCTGAAGGAAGAGATTAGCAGTATATATGTATGCTATACAACATAAACTAAAATATCCACTTGCAAAAAAAAAAAAAAAAGAAGAAGAAAGAAAGAGGGAGAGATACAGATATGCAAAGAAACTGAAAAGAATGACTCAGTCTAGAAAACAATCAGACAAAACAACTTCTGTGTAATGCTCTGATTTGGATTTAACAGAAAATGTTTTCCAAGTAGGCATTTTAAATATCTTTAGATATCTAAACCATGTTTACATAAATTAAGGAAGATATGATGACAAGTGTCTCACCAAATAAAGAATAAATAAAGAGAGAATTAAAAAAGAGAGAGTGACAATGAAAAAGAGTGAGATGGAAATTCTGGGTTGAAAAGTAAAATAACTAAAATGAAAATTTGATTAAGAGGGGCACAATAGTAAATCTGAACTAGCAGACGCAGGCATCAGCAAATATGAAGATACAGTAATAGAGCAATTATGCATCCTAAAAAAGAGGAAATAATTTAAATAAGGAACAGACATCATAGATATGTGGGGTTCAAAAACTACTATGAGTAGTGGAAGTGATAGGAGAGACGAAAAAGAGAAGAAAATATTCAAAAAATAATGTTTATACATTTTATGAAAAATAACCTACAAATTGAAGAAGTTCAACAAATGTTAAGTAGGATAAATGCAAGTGATTCATACCCAGACACATCTTGGTAAAAATGCTGAAAGCCAAGGAGAAAATTCTGAAAACAGCAAGGGAAAAATGACTTGTCATGTACAATAGAACTCTAATAATATTAACAGCTGGCTTCTCATCAGTCCACAATTAAGTGAAGAAAAAAATCCATTTACAATAACATTAAAAGAACAAAATAGTAAGGAATAAATTTTTTAAAAATGTAACACTTATACTCTGAAGACTAAAAAACATTGTGCAAAGAAATTAAAAATCTAAATAAGTGTATATTCATCCTCTGTGGACAGATCAGAGGACTTGGTATTGTTAAGCAATGTCAACACTCCCCAAAGTGATTTATAGATTCAAGGCAATTCCTATCAAAATTCCATCTGGTTTCTTGATAGAAATTGGCACACTTATCTTAAAATTCTCCTGGAAATTCAGAGCCCCAGAATAGACAAAACCATCTTGAAAAAGAAAAGCCAAATTGCAGAACTCACGCTTTTAAAAATCTAAAGTCAAAATTTTTTAAATATGAAAAGATTAGAATACTTTGGAGGATATTCATATATTATTAATGTAGGGAATATATTCTTTAGACAGAAGAAATGAAATCACAAAAAGCTCACACTTTTTTTTATATAGCTGCTAATAACTTTTAAAAAAGACAACAGATCTTTTGGGAAATACTGGGTAAAATGCCCCAAACTGCTTTAATACTGTAACTTTTACCCTCTATCATGCTCTTCTCTCTGACCTCACTAGTGTGTTAACTTGTTGCTACCATGACCATTCTTGAACCTGTGACCTGCTGTGTCTCCTCATCCCTTTACTTTCACCCAGTCCATTGTTCTTTTTTCATTCCCCTCCTTTACAAGTTGAGCTTTTCTGGTCCATCATGTTAAGAAGATTCTTACCCTTCCTGTCTTTTGCATACAACGCATATGGCTAAAGCTCAATCCATTATGTATGATTCCATTATACAGCCAACACTTTTGGAAACTTCAAGCAGAGAGGTTTGATAATTTCAGGGCCTTTACCACTCTCTAAGGTAACCCGATGTGCTTCTTTCAGTGAACTTGCTTTCTCACTCTTCGGTTGCTATTTCAAACTTCATTTTGTTCTGCTCAAGCTTCTTACCTTCCTCCCTACCCTCATCCTACCCATCACTACCAGTACATGATCCTGATATCACTTTCCTGGGGAAAAAAGAACCTGTGGTGATCAGACAGGAATGCCCTATCCACTAGGAAACTTCAAATACATTGTATTTGCCAACTTTCTTCCTCTCTTCCAGTTTTTGTGGAAGCAGTTCTCTGCCTCTTTTCTAAGAAAAAATATCCCAGTGCCTCAATAACCACCTATTCCACCCCTGCCTTCAGGGATCACTACAGTAAGCCACCGATTGCTATTTTATCTTGATTACTTAATTGCTCCCTCTCAAAGAAACCTCTATCAGTTTGATCTCTAAACATATTAAATCCTTTGCCACATGAAAAAATAAATGAAACAATATCTCATCTCTCTCCTTAACATGCTATTTCTCCTAAACATGCTATTACAGTTACCGCTATGTCGGCTCCACTTTTAGGCAAATTTATTAAAAGACAAGTCTGCATTCTCAACTTCTTTCTTCTCTAACTTACATGTCATTTAACTCCTATCTGGATTTCTTCTGAACAAATAAATGAAATGGTTCTCAAAAAGTATACTAATTATAAAGGAGACAAAATTATTATTTTTACAAGTGACATTTATCTGGAAAAACTCAAGAGCATAAAATGAAAAATAATTTATAATTATCAAAAATTGAGTAAAATGGTCTAAGAAAAAAAGAGCTTTCACATAC